GGCTAATATGTCGTCAACGGAAAAAAAAGAAAGAAAAGTTCATTAGGGCATGATACGTTTTTTCCATTTTTACCCTCTCGCTGAAGAAGGGATGTTAACAGTTAACAGCTGGTTGAACAGCAAGAGATATAGTCCAAGGAATTCATTATAAACAGACTTGTTGCATATCCTTCTAAATAAGAATAGATATATACTATAAGAACTAATGACTAATGGAAGTTCTTACATCTATTTTTGATATACAGAAAGAATGGCAAGGTCAAGATCTTGGAGTCTACATGCACCAGTGTACAAGTTGTAAAGTGGATCGGGCTATAATCGAGGGGATCCTAGGGAATTACCTCTGTAGTTCATGTGCAATTCGGGACTATAAAGTGGAAGAGGATTTTTATTCTTTTATTCTCACACCTCAGGAGAATTGGCCTAGGACCCAGAATGAAGTTAAATTATGCCGTCCACCCTCAAGAGAGGAATATTGTGCTTTAGAGGAAATATTAGTGTACAAAAAGGATTATGTAGTGGTGTTAAATTCTGGTAATCGAAGAGTTTATCTAAGAGGAAAAGATACTCTTACGTATTATCTATCTACCCACAGGAGATTGATCTGTCAGATCAATTTAAAGGGACTCATCCCGAAAGTTCCTGTGCAGAAGGACCGGAAGGGGCAAGCGGTGAAAAGGAGGAGACTCGTAAGAGAAAAAAGCGATCTGATTCGGAGGTCTCCCCGGGTGCCCAAGCCAAAAAGATGTCCTTGCTGTCAATAGAGGAACCTGGAGTAACAGACCCCTTGGAAGGATTCCTGGGGGAAATTGTTTCAATTGAAACAATTATTAATGACTCAGAGGTCGCATACGTGTATGATCATAACTATATGGATGATATTAGTACCTCTGGGATCTACCAAGAGGAATTGAATCTACCAAGCGGAACTTCTTCAGGCACAGGGTTTCCTATAAAGCCAATTCCTGAAACCAGAAAACCGGTGCAGAATGGATCAGCGGCTGAGTCACCTATGACCCCGACAGAGGAGGAGGACGATTCTTCGAGTGCTGGAGGACAGAGTGCATCTTTGCCCAAAAAACCACTAAGATTGCAGTGGATTTCCCAGAAAGGACGACGACTACCTGACAACTGTATGGTCGACCAGGGTGTCTGGCCTTTCGTTTGGAGATGTCGTCCAGGGAAAAACTGCAACTCTTCTATGGTCAGGGTCAAGGATTTACAACAGATGGCAACTTGGATTGAGGAGTCTACACTGAAACAACAGATAGGCCCCCCGACCCTAAAAATGCCTGGCCGAGTGGGGGTGCTCACACAAATCTATCTTCATCATGACGGCCCATGGGCTCTGTTTACTCTGGTACCTGACCTCGGTGACCTCAAGGACATTCCGGTGCGGTACTATGTTTTCAGTGTTGGCCACCCCAGGATTAACGGAAGGCGCCCTTATTTCCATTACTGAAAAACTTTTCATGTTATTTGATGCTGGAAGTTTTTCGAATATATGCTTACAATTTGTTCTGTCACTAGTTGATAACTTTGCGTTTTGAAAAGAGGGTGTTGAGATCTAGTATAAAGTGAATACTTAAAAAACGAAAGTTAATTAAAAAAATCATATTCTTATATAAACCCATAATGAGAATGCTTCTTGACGGTTTTTGAATATGAATGTATGCTTATAATTTTTTCTGTTGTTATTTTGATAACTTTGCGTTTTGAAAAGAGGGTGTTGTGAGTTTTCATAGCATGTTTAATACTTAAAAACGAAAGTTAGTTATAATCAAATATATTCTTGTATAACCCACAATGAACATGCTTCATATTTTAGGTTTTTCTATAGTACAGTATAAACAAAACAAAGTGGTTTGTGTAGGTTGAGTGTGTAGGGGAAAATGATATATGGGTGTCTGTGAAAAGAGTTGGCCGTTTTTCTCTCTCTCTCCTCTGGCAGCAGTACACAGGGGGGGGGGGGGTCTTAGGCCATAAAGCTATGGAACATGTCGAGTCATGTTTTTAGCCCTGTACAGTAGAAGCCATGCCCAGTTTTTCCTGATGTGGGTGTGGAAGAGGCGTTTTGGAAAATGCTATCGGGGTTTTTGTGCATAAAAGACAGGGGTGAGAGTAAAAAGCGCCAGAGCTGGGTTAATAGCTCTCGGTAAGGTCCTTCTAGACGGGGTAAATATCTCTCGAATTTATTGGTTGTTGGCTGAGTGGAATGATTTGATGAGAGATGTGTGTATGAACCTTTATAAATACCGCGACCTGTGGGGAAATCTGGTCCCCCGAATTTTGCGGACAGGTATGGGTTTTTGAGTGTTAATCCGCCGTCTGTGTCGGAAAAAGTGTATGAACCTTTATAAATACCGCGACCTGTGGGGAAATCTGGTCCCCCGAATTTTGCGGACAGGTATGGGTTTTTGAGTGTTAATCCGCCGTCTGTGTCGGAAAAAACGGTATGAAACTGATGTGAATAAATGGGTGAATGGAAAGTTGAATGCGCTTTTTATTGTCACCGGTCTTTTTACGAGGAAATACCTCTAAATTCTATCGGGAGAATTTTAAAATGTCACAACTGAAATGGGCAGTTGAAATTAAAACATTTTGGTAATAAATGTAAGACTGTGAATTAAAGTTTCATTTGAACATGATCACAGCACGGTTTTTTTGTTAGTATGATTATAATGTTGTGAGAGAGAAGGTAAAAACCCTGTATTAGTTTGGACCTATTTTTCTTCAAATAAACTGAATCCCACCTGTTGGATTGGGATCCTTTAAAAGACACCTGTGCTCTCCTCTCCTGCGTCAAAGGTAAGATTGCACCCTGCCACACACACTTAGGTAGGAGCACACTCCATTTACTGATATCAAAATCCTTCGGGATCGCTTAAACAGATTAAAGAAGAGTTGTCTGAATTGAAACAGCAGTTAATTGAACCTGGTTCTTCGGGGGGGGTTAGGAAGAGGTGAGATCTTGCTGACGTTGGTGGATCTGAGCCAAGCAGCAAACTTACATAGACTCAATAATCTTCGGAAAGGTCAATTAGGAGGTCAGAATAATTTACCGGAATAAATTATCAGGACCTCTCAAAACTCTAAACAGATTGCATAAAGCCATATACACCAGTATTTATTTCCATGAACAATATTAGCATTCGTTTTACAATTTCAGTCAAAACAAACAAACCACTCACTGCTCTATTTGCCTCAACTGTAGTCCACCATGTTCAGCTCTGTAAATATTAAATGCATTCTGCAGGGAGAACACATTCAGGCACACAGGCTCCAATCCAGGATGGTCCACCATACAGGTTACAGAGTCCTCAAGTTCCTGCATCCGTCTTGACACCTAGTGTGATAAAGATATATTGAATGACATGTTAAAAATGTATTCTCTAAACAGACAACTTAGTGAAGCTATCAAATGTTACCTGTGGTATCGCCATGCAGCACACATTCTCCGGTTCAGAAGGCATCGTGGCGCAATTTGCACATGTACACCTGTAGAAAGAAGTCAATAACTGAGCTTTTAAAAACACATGAAACTACACACATTGCTGACAACTGAGGTGTTGTTGGAGTTATACTTTTTATCACCCTAAGTTATTGAACTTTCCAACAGTTGTTGCACGATGTTGGAAGAAAAGGACTGTAAACTATTAATAAACGCAATGAGGCCATTGTATATATGCTCAAAATATGAATGTCTCCCTTTATAAATATGTATTGCTGTTTTTGCGTTAAAAACTATAAGTTACAAACTGTACACATTGCATTCTTGCTAATTAGCCAACATATGAACGGAATAAGTAGCAAGCATCGTAACAGAGTAAAATAAATAGGGACAACAGCTTGTCAACTAACCATTCAGAAACGTCCTGCTGCAACCGGGATGTTTCCACCTCCACCAAAACCTCCGCTGCTTCAGGGTCAGTCTCTGGATCAAATTCATAATATGCTTGAACACATGCATTGCTCTGAGATGACATGTTCATTCCACACGTAATCACAGCAAGCACGGTAACGTGACTCTCGCCGGCGCATGCCCCGCTCTTCTGCAGGGGGGCGTGGTCAGCTGCTGCTCAGAATTTTCAAAGACAGGCTTGGAATAGAGCGAAAATGAGCGAAACGAGGCATGGCTAAAAAATGATCCGTTTGGTATTTTGAAAAATAAAATGTATAAATATACCTTATATAGGTATGGTCATACACTATATCATTTAAATATAGCATGATAGGTCTCCTTTAAGTAAAGTGAGCCTTTCTAAAATATACAGTAAAGAGACAAACCCACCAGCATTATAGGATCTATATGGCCTGATGCAGGCACATGTGTAGGCTACATCATGTTCTCTATGAGAGCCCCGGACACCTCCCTGATTAGTCGTGGAAAAACATGCAATTTCTGAACGTTACAGTAAATATTCTGTGTTAAAAAAAACGTTCCCTTGTTTGTTAAAGCTTTTTTGAGTTTCTTTTTAATTATTGAATCAAAGATATGAGGATAAGGATATAGGGAGTCGTATGTTGTATTGTAAAGACCTTTGAGCCAAATGATTGTTTTTGGGCTGTATAAATCAAATTGACTTGAAACAGTTGCTGATTTAGAGTACTGGCATCTTTTTTATTCCAATTCAAGCACTGCATGTATTATATAAAGTCCATGAACCATTTTGAGAACGTTTTCATGAAGTAATTGTGTTACTCAGTCTGTATAGCAGGGGGCGACGAGCTCCTTCAACGTTCGGTTTACAGTCCTCAGCTAAAACCAAAGAACAAGAACACCTGAACGAAGCATGCGCAAATCCTCATTTCATCTGAGTGGTCCGTTTCAAATTTGGACCGCGTCTTGTTGTTGTATGAAGTTAGCGAAAACACACGGAATAATTATCTTTAAACGAACCTAATGTCCCAAATACAACAGCCAGGTGAGTGTTGAATGTTGTCCCAGGTGACATTTGATCTTTTAGCTTTGTTTTGTGAAAGAAAACGGACATTTGTTTGTCACTTTTATCAGTTGACAGGTGCTAACCAACAAGCTAACCAGCTAGCTTGTTTGTTAGCTCTACCCAGACAGGAAGTCTGTGATCCACCTGCAGGTGGAGACGGGCACGTGCAGCTGGTAGAGCTTGTCCTGCAGCAGAGCCGGGATGATGGTGTTGAAGGCGGAGCTGAAGACCACAAACAAGATCCTGGTGTAGGTTCCTGCTGTGTCCAGGTGCTGGAGGAGGAAGTGAAGTGATAACTATTAGTAAACCATAATGATGGATGTTATTATCAGCAGCTGCCAATAGATCCCCTACATCTTGTATGGTGGACCTTTGAAGCAGGGTTACACAAAACACACACACACAAAATTGTAAAACAGTTATTGAGAGCATCCCAAGGGCATTGATCCTATGCTAAACCTTCCAGTACACCAACTTTCTAATACCTTAAAAACTACAACTAGCCGTTGGCACGAATGTAATGCTTCAGCTTCCTACAACTTTAAAGCTGTGTGGACGTGGCTCTATGAAGAGTCGTTCATATTTTCTCATTATTTCATAAGTTTAGAAGGGGTAACAACAGTTACCTTTTGTTAATTTTACCTCGAGCCAGACTTGTGCGACTTGTTTCTGAAATCCCTTTCTCTTAAAGTGAATACATAAAATAAAAAAACAGTGGAGCTTACCCTAAAACTAACCACTGGATAGGGTTAACCCTAACCCATATATATTTTTGTATTATTATTTTTTTTTTAAAATATATATCATATAGCACCAAATGGCAACTAATCTATATCTACGGTCACTTTTCACATTGAACATGAGCTCTTTTATTAAATAAACTAAACGCTTTCATTTTAAGTTGAGTTTAGTGTTTTTGACCCTAAGAAACACTGATGCATTAATCAATAACAATAATCCACAGCTCCTCTCTCTGCTCCAGAGGATTTAAAGAATATATTAGGGATCGACCGATATGGCTTTTTCAAGGCCGATACCGATGATTAGTAATCAAGGAGACCGATAACCGATATTTGGAACCGATATACATTTGCAGTAAAAAAAAAAATCTTGGTGTCAAAATGTCGAATAACACAAACTCCAACACAACTTATTTGAAATGCATTTAAGCATAGCCTATATTATGTTTAATTAACTTTTAAACATCTTACAACTGGTTTCCTCTCTGTGCCCTTTTCTTTAGTGCAGTCATCTGCAATGAGTTAGAGAGAGAGACAAGAAATGGGGCTGCAGGCTGACACGCTAAACTAACAATAATGCTTAATTTATTATATCTGTCTATCTAGCATAACATCCCAATAAGCTGCTAGCAACTGCAAAACACTAGTGCTAGCTAATGTTTTGCAAACTATTCAAAGTGAGGCTCTCACAGTAGACCTAACGTTAGTCTAGTAGCCTCACTTCTAATATTTTGCTAAACATTTGCTAGATACATGTTGGCTAGCTAATGAGCTTCACGTATCAACCTGAAAAACTGCAAGGCTCCACTCGCAGCCCCCCCCCCCCCCCCCGCACCACAGTTACTCCGCTGCGAGACACTGCACGCACCCCCAACTCTGACTGACTTCCCGCGTCCCTGTGTAACTGGGAAACTGATAGAATTGGATCATAAGATGGTGGTGTTTTTGCAACTTCAGCATAGGGGATAGGGATGTTTATTGAACTTCGGTTTAACACATGTATGGCTCTGCCGCTCAGCGCTGCTGCTTGCTTCAGTCTGTGTCTGCGTTCTTTCGCACCTGCCTGTAATCTGAGAAGGTCCCGCCTCTCTGGCTCCCGCCCGGAAAATCTTCAGTAATAGCCTATCAGATAGCGCTGTGGGCGGGACATTGCTCGCGTACACAGAGTGGTGACTGCAGCCAGAGAAACGGCCGCATCAGAGCCAAAGTTTTAACGGCAATTTGATAAAAAAAAGGCCGATACCAATAATCGGTCAAATGCGGAATATCGGCCCCGATAATCGACCCCTAGAATATATCAGCAGTAAACCTAGGGGAAACACTGACATTCAATATTATGTTAGAGACAAGTTAGTTATTACTCACATATCAAAGTCTTTTCATCTACAAGATGGAAGAATAGCTGGGTGCTGCCTGGAGAGACTGATGAGGAGTCACCGGCTGGCTTCTGCAGCTTTCCACACAAAGCCATCACATGTTCTGTTCCATAGTCTTCACTGTCCACTGGTGCTCTGTCAAAAGAGTGAACATCACAGCTGTCATGGTAACCCTTTGTTACACAACATACAACCAACATGCATCAAAAGTGACCCAAATTAGTTTTAATTGTAAATATCTTTGCAATAAATTACCTCCTCAATTAAGCTGTTTTGATCAACACCAATTCTAATTTTCATTTGAACTTTCTTACTTTTTTAAATAAAAATCATGTTTGTATCACTACACTTCTAAGGCACAACATGGGTAAAACATTATCCGTATTATTTCCTATGTTATTCCTAGTGTTTCTTTAAATACATTGTTTTTGATTACCACAAATCATTATTTTAATTCTCCAGTTCTAATTGATTAACTAAAATAGTGTATGCCAAGTGTGATACAAATGCAAAAAAATAAAGATACTTTAATGATAATTTTGTTAAAAATAATCATTTTAGCAGAGATTTGGACCAAGCATGTATGATGTAGTAATACAACAACTATTTTAGTTCACAGTGTGACATTAGCTAGTCATGTTAGCTTGTAATATATAGAGCTAACTAGCAAGTTAGCCAAACGTTAGTGGTTAGCAGTTTATGCTATGATAGCTGTTGGCTACTGAACATTAACAAACTGGATTCCGCAGTAAAAAAGCTGTGAAACTTTACAATAAGATTGGCGACAACACTGTGACACCCTGCTGCACGTTTATGTGTAATCGTCCCGCGTTGGAGACGAGAGGATGGCGGCAGCACTGCAATAAGCTGTAAACTAACGTTAGCAGCCACCTTGTTAACCTGTATAGCCCGATTGTCTCGCTGGTGGGACATCTTGCAAGAAACAGCATCTCAGGACTTCTTAAAATGTACTAACAACCTATTAATGATGCTTACCCACTTAACGGGAAGAGACTCAGCTAACTGGCGATATTAACCATTTTTAACTAAACGAAACACAAGTCTAACAGCTAACGGGGCTAACGCTACTTTAGCACATAACTGGCAAAAATGATCTTTTTTACTTCATGCTATCTGCACAAACGTATCATATGAAAGCTGAGATTCCACAGATTCCCTTAAAATATATGTCTCATCACTCAAAACTCACTGAACTAGAAGAAGAAACGTAACCTTAAATACACAATTAAACATTCACAAACTAAGGATTATCTAAATACATGTTTAACTCCATTACAGTTGCAGGACTCACCAGATCTCAAGTCTTCTGTTCTCTGTTGACGTCCCGATGCTCATATTTAAGGTGTAGATGTAAAACTATCCCGATATTAGTCCATAAACTCGTGAGCAGACATACAGACAGCTCTGTAGCTCCGCAGGAGAGCCGCTCAAACTGACGTGGAAGTTTCAAATTGGATTGAAAGGCGCGGACAGTGCTCATTGGCAGGTTTTTTCGATGACGTTTATATCAACCAATCAGGAGTGTTGTGGACTCATTCCAATCCTGCTTGTCTTGTCTGCCGTTGTATGGCTGGATTCCATTTTAAGTGCCGTAGCTTTTTACATACATTTACGTTTTTTTTATTTGACACTTTTTTTTTTACAGTTAACTATTTTAATATACTATGAAAACTACTTTATTTACACAAAATCATTTTTGGGTATTTCTGCAATATATTACATTTTTTGTGAAGATGTATACATTTATTTAACATTTTAGAGATGTTTTATAATAACATTTCTTTTTATTCTACAACAGTACAGAATAGTTATTTTTTTTTTTTTTTACATTTTGTTACATTAAATTTAAGGTTTTACTGCAAAAAAGAAAAGAAAGTTGCCTTCATTTTACATGCAGTAAAATTATATGTATTTTATGTGTTTTTACATAGAATTCAATGTAATTTAACATTCAAGACAATTAAACAATGGAATTATCCTGTAAAAAAACGATAATTTCTCATCAAACCAATTTACAGAATAAAACCTTTATTTATTTTAAATAAAAGTAATTTACTGTATTTGTATGGTATTTACACGTAATATAGAAAAACAAGAAAGGTCTGTAAAATAATACAGTACATTTCTGTGAAAAAACTTCTTTTTTTTTACAGTGTAGGAGAAGACCGGGATTGGAAACACTTTAGGCCACTGCTGTGTTCTTAATGATTCAGTGGAAGGATCCTCTATCCTGAGTTCTGGATTAAGTCGTGGACTTCGGGTCGTGGCTGAACCTGTCTCTGCGGTCCTGCCTTGGGTCTCGTCATGCTGCTTCCCTGATGGCTTCCTCAGGATTGTAGCTGACATCCTCGTGGATTCATCTTCTCATTACAGACGCATGCATTTCCTAACATTCGGTCTATACGCTGTAAAATGTATTATCTCTTGGATTTACACACGGCATCTATTGCACGTCTGTCCGTCCTGGGAGAGGGATCCCTCCTCCGTTGCTCTCCCTGAGGTTTCTCCCATGTTCCCTTTAAACTGTGGGTTTTCTCTGGAAGTTGTTCCTTGTACGATGTGAGGGTCTAAGGATAGAGGGTCTAAGGACAGAGGGTCTAAGGACAGAGCGTCTAAGGATAGAGGGTGTCGTTTTTCTCATACTGATATTCTGAACAATCTGTGCTGTTGTATTTGCTGTAAAGTGTCTCTACTGTAGGCTATTTTTATTTTATGTACAGCACTTTGGCTCCACCAAAAATCGTTTATAAATGTGCTATATAAATAAAACTTGATTTGATTTGAAGAGCCGCTAAGTAGTACTGTGTCATCTGTATTCACAGATCCAGAGGAGGAGTCTTCACTGTACAGTCCACTTGTAGGGGTACTATTTAATGGTATCTCAACTGGGTACAAGACCACAGTTGTAGAATCGGAGTCTAATTCGACATCTTTGATCACTGTTAAATCTTTAATCGCATGTGTAGATGTAAGATTAACAAATGTGTTCCCAAAATCAGTGTCTTTGTACTGTAGCCTTATATAACCTTCTAATCCACATTAATTCTTGACCTCCTCAATGAGCTCTTACATTGAGTTGGGAATCCCATTTCGAAGCTCTAGTCTGACGCTGTTGTCGTCGTTCAAGATGATCAGCAATCGAACAGGTGGTCCAATATCAGCTAAGAGAAAGAGAGAAATAGAGAGATGTGAAGAAGGAATTAATTAAATGCAGGTGTACACTCAATACATTCTTTATTTTCAAATTGCATTGTACTTTACAAAGTATTACATACAAAGTTCATATATATACAGGGGCGCCGTAAGGGGGTGAAAAGTTAGGACGATTCTAAGGGCCCGTGACTGACAGGGGCCCAAAACATTTTTAGAACATTCAGAAAAAATGTTTAAGTAACCTTTCATCATCATCATAGTTAACATTAATATAACGGCATATTGATAATGTACTCACTAAACTTACGATTCATTTAACTTATTTTCTTCCAAAAGTTAATTATCTTGGATAATTAATAGCCTCTGAACACCCCCCTCTATTTACATGTAATGGTTTGGTCCGCCTCCAAACGCTGTGCCCGCACTTTCTAGCAGCAGAGAGTGAGAGCATGTGAGGAAGGATGCTAGTACTTACGTGTGTGCGATGTCTCAACGACTAACAAAGTCAGGCTTTCAAAAAGAAAAGAAAGGAGAGAAAGACAAGAGAGAGGGACTAAAGGCCGACAGTATGTCACCCAGTTTTTCAAAGAAAAGGTGGGTGTGGTCCATGAGTGGTGGAAATCAATCAATCAATCAATCAATCAATCAATCAATCAATCAATCAATGTTTATTTATATAGCTCAATATCACAAATGTTACATTTGTCTCAGTGGTCTTCACAGTGTGTACAGAATATCAGTATGACAATACGACACCCTCTGTCCTTAGACCCTCTGTCCTTAGACCCTCACATCGTACAAGGAAAAACTTCCGGAGAAAACCCACAGTTTAAAGGGAAACATGGGAGAAACCTCAGGGAGAGCAACAGAGGAGGGATCCCTCTCCCAGGACGGACAGACGTGCAACAGATGCCGTGTGTAAATTGAAAAGATAATACATTTGCAACATAGGTAGTCCACATGTTTGGAAATGCATGTGTGTATAATAGGAAGATGAATCCACGAGGATATCCATCCAGGACCTATGATCCAGGACCACAGCCACGACTCAAGATCCAGGGCTCGCGATCCAGGACACAGGAGCGCAGGATCATCCATGACTCCGGATCCCGGCGTATATAGACACCAAGAAGAAAGACATTTGGGGAAGCTGGGTTAATCGGCACATGAGAGTACACAGGTATAGACAGAGAGAAGGTGAGGAGCAGCAGGTTCAGCTTTCAGAACAAAGTAACACAAAATTAAAATGGCATTCATTTTTTTAAATATGTCGTGTAGTAATAGATTTCTTTTTTTTCTTCTCAATAGAGTAGCCTACCAGAATGTGTATTTTATGTTAGTATTTCAAAAAATCTCCTGGGGGTCAATCCCCCCAGACCCCCCTGCAGGGGTTGGGTTTTCAGCATGTTAACTCTTTCACCTGTGGGGACATTGCAAGATTGGCTCCAGGTCGCCCTTTTTATTTACTACAAGACAAATGTGCCTTTTTATTTCATACAGTTCAATTTGGATTGAGACAGGGAAATAATCTAAACCTCACACGTGACGTTTCACTGTCAAGGGGAGCGATATAGCGTGTATGTAATTACATTGCAAATACTGACTTGAGCCCCACCGCTGTATGGGTTAGCCCTACCATAGATTACCCAACAAAAATACTCTGGAGCCGCAACTGCCGACCCGTATTGCGCAAGCGCAGATCTAAGATCCAGTAGAAATTATAAAAAAGTAAAAGTCTGCTGCTTATTGTTCTACTGCCAAAATAGAGTCAAAGAGTATATGAGAGTGAGAGTGTGTTAATTAATATATTGGGCAGTTTGGAGTAAGTCTGTAGATTTGTTTGTGTCTGTGTGTTTCATAGGCCTCTCATGATAATTAATTTTGTTGGATACATTTTCCTGGAAATTATTGTCGGCACCGTTGTCTGATCATTTTAGACCACTGACATAATAATATATAATAATAATTCAAGTACATCCTTTCAAACTGCTAGTCACATCCTCATGTAAATGGCAATTTATCGAGTTCATTTTTATTTATCGTACGACAAGTCAATTAATTGCTTATCGTGACAGGCACATAATAAAACAGTGGAAACAAACATGTGTTTGAATGAAACTGTGTGTCCTTTATAGTCTGTGTCCAATATTGTGTATTTGTATATATTGTATATCCTGTATATATGCTAAGGTCCCGCTGCTGACACGATAGCAGTCATTTTGTGCGCATAATGTGTAATTAAACCCATGGTATCAAAATCTCACTCCAGCCAGGTACCCAAAGTTGGCAACCCTGATGTAGGGCTCTACTATGTTACTATGTGTAATGAGTCCCGTGCACTAGTTTGGCTTACATTTCAAGTTTATTCTGTTTGTATAAATATGTGAAATGCTGGTCTGAGGTCATAATTGTTCATATTATTTAAATACTAAAGCGCTAATGCTATGCTAATATTGTGCCTGTACAACATAGCCATGTTAAAGTGAGTACAGTCAACCAGGGTTGTGTGTGTTATCTGTTATCACTGTATTATATACTGTAAATGAAAAAGGCTTTAATCCTTCATGAAAGTCATAATATGGCATCTGGATTTATGTCCATTTTTTATTAGAGACAAATATGTCATACGGTTATTTTGATTTGCTAAATGTAAGATTACATTCTCAGTTAGCTTCAGGCCTCACTGAGGCGAAGTATTGAGGTAGAAAGCTGGTGAAGCCATTTCCTGCCGTCATTATATTCTGTTTGCACAGATAATAAACCTGGTTGGCAAGAAGGAAGTCGTTTTCATTCAACTACTACGCAGAGATACATCTGGCGTCAATCCAGACCGGTTACACAAATAATTATTAGATAAATAGAGAAAACAGATATCATTTGTAAGTGAATTTATTAATGTGTTTAATACATTCTGGCTAGAATGACCACACAAACGGCAGCAACTTTCCCTCTGCTTCATTCTTTTCTCCTGATCAACAGGCTTATTATCTGATTACCAGCTCTGCACAGCGGACTTGTAACACTAGCAGCAGTGGAGATGGAGCATCAGAACCTGGAGGCTTCTACTCTTCTGAAGAAGAAGAATACAGCAACAAGGATCCATTTGAAGATAGGTACATGTAAATATTACAGTAATAGTGTACTTGCATTGTGTGGGTGTAAGGGTGTAACTTTGGTTTGAGAAGTGGGGGGGATACAAAACAGGGGGTCCTCCGCAATGAAACATTTTCTCAATTTTATTCCATTTCCTGCCTTTCTACAAATATATTA